AAATAAGGGAGGAAGATGCAAGATGTGTTTGGAATGTGTGCGAAAGAGGTATCGACGGTGATGTGAATGAGCGTGTAAATGTGAATGATTGACGTATGACGTAGAGAGAGTATGTATTTTACCCCTCGGCCTCATCGTCGGTGATGTTTCGCAACAAGTCCTCGTGTTCCTGGTATCTGAGCTGGACTTCCGCTCCGAAATCCGAACTGTTCTCCAAGTGACGCGTCCTCGCCGCGATCGTGCTCATCTCGATGGCCTTAACTTGCTGTTCCAATCGTTGCAGCATGTCGGTGCTTTCGACCGTCGTCGTGCCCGTCGACGCTGTTCGCTGCTGATTCAGAATCAAATCGAGACTGAGCGGCGCCTTGGGCTTTGCCGACAGTTGAGCGGGTGATGTCAGTTCCGTCCTCTGGTGGATAAACGGAAGTCCGATCGGTTGGATAATCTTCGACTCATTAAAGACTCTCAACTTCTCCTCCAGATTTGCGTCCATGTTCGTGTCGCTGAGGAGTCTCTTTACGGAAACGGGAGTGCGACCGTAGAGCGGGCTCGTGGGAACCATCTCCTTGGGTCTGATCGGGCTTAAAGCGCCGGCCCGTTTCTCAACTACTTGCAAACCCTTGCCATCCTCTACCAATTCCCACTGCTTCAAGCTTTCCAAGGGCGCGAGCGGCGCCGATAATCGCTTCGATATCGGGCTCGTCGGGCTCGATTCGTTAGCAGCCTGTCGATTCAGCTGACGCACTGTCCTTTCTGCGGACGACGGCGTCAAGAACTTTCGTGCACCTGTCTGCGGCCGAATCAAGCTTCTGCTGGCCTGTGCTCGCACGAACGGGCTCTCTCGATCGTCCATCATCGAGAAATCTCACGTGGGAACGAAGACGGGAATTGGCCCCCGTTGCTGTTTCTCAGGCTCTCCTTGAGAATCTCGTCTTCGTAAGACGATCCTTTGTAGATAACGTATCGGCCGCTGATAAACCTTCAACATCGATTCAACGGCCAAACCGGTCAATGACGCTGCACGGAAGATTTAGTTTCTGTCAAGAAGAAGACTCGTGTTTTTCTTTTTAAGAAAAGACGTCAAGCACTGCGACGATCATCATTAAACACATCATACAGAACCCAGAACCTGAGAATGAACCACGAGCCAGTTGACCGATTCTCTCTTTCTTCCTCTACACCTTCATTCGATTAACAATCACATGTATCAATAAGCGAATAAGCGGTACAAATATAGGCTTTTTTGTAGATAGGGGAATAAAGCTTTATTGAACGGCGGCACTGTGTGTTGGCTCTTTTTGCAATCATAACGTTGTAGACAATAAAGCAGATAGGTACGCAAAGAGGCTCGCAATTTCGTGGATTACCGCAGTTTAATGCGAGTAGACGATAAATAAAGCTCGGAGACTCGTAAACATGCGTGTGTCTTTATCTGTGACTCAGATGTCTATTACATAATAGCTTTTAATCGAACGAAATTAACTCGTTAAGTCAAATGCGTCAGCACATTGGAAAATTTTCGTACAAAAAGTACGATAAGAGGTGAACAGTTTTGTACATTAAAGAATTATCTAGTAATCTGTTACAAAAAGGACTTTTTCAATGATGATACAATAAATAATAGTCTTTAAATTTACATAAAATAATATTTAGCAAATTTTGTCACCGTATAATACATATAAGCATTATGCATCAAATGTGAAATGTGAATTGTTTTTTAAGTCAAGTAAATATCAGCAAACGAAGCAAATAAATTCAATATTAATCTATTAACTCTTTCCCAAACCAATAAAAAAAAAAAAACGATATTCATTTCACGGATGTCATATTATTTTTATCGAAACGATCGGAGATATGCCGAGATATCGAGTATAAAGAATACGTCATACCCCGTGCAGTTCTAAGACGATGATAAGGATGCGTGTACTTATAAGTTTCCATTAGTTCTGCCTTGATCTGGCCCGACAATGATGAAGTGAAATATATTCCTTCAACGGTTTATATATATATATATATATATACAATATCGTGAACAGTTAACGTTTTACGAAATCCAAGAGAAATTTATCACTCAAAAGCCAAGATGTACATGTATAATAAACAGTTTCTACCATAAAATTAATTCTATAATATGTAAAAATATTCTTATGGAAATACATATAGTTTATATTACGTCATCTATAATCATTTTTTATATTTGCAAATTCAGTTGTTTCACCGATTAAACCAAATTATTATTAAGATTTTGGAAATACAGTTTTGTATGTAAACAGACGAAAATCCAAGCGACTATTTAAATGTTAATTTCCTTTTCACAATAATTTTCCGATAAAACGAATTAACGAAATAAACGATTATAAACGAACCACCAATTTTTGCGCTCTACGAGTGGCGTTTCTATTCGTTCCCTTAGGTGAAGCAGCCAACCGGAAATTTGCTCCGAGATTGAAACGAGAAGTTTAGACACGGGTGACCTAATCCCTCGATAGATGAAAGGGTGGGGAAGCAATTTTGCCAATGGAAAATTGAACATGCTATTTCGAATGTATACACGATGAAAAACTTACGGCAATTTAAAAGATTCACCAACAAAACGGCCAATGATAAGTTATATATGCTAATAAAATTCCTCCCTAATATTAATTGATATTTCGGATAATCGATAGATTGTCATGAATACATTTGCAGAGCGATCAGGTTACATCTAATCATATAGAAATTACAAAGCGTGTAATGAGTTCTGAGTTCTTCGATCCTTATATGAATTTAATAATAATTTAATATTATGATGAGTATGACCCAATATGAGTTTTCTTTTAATATTAGATATTAGACATGCAATTCTTAACCGTTGCGACAAATGGATCTAAAATAATTGTAATTTTTAGATTGCAAATTGTTATATTTTTAGTATAGGTAAACATAGATAGTAAATTTGTGATTATTTTAAAACTTTCATATTCTGAGTAAAGATTTTACAAGAGGATTTATTTCCGCCATTTTTATCAGCTCGTAATACACTTGCAAATGTCGCGTGGTAGATTAAAAGATTAAAAGGCGAGATAACAGTATCTTTTTGATTGCAGATATTTAAAGATAAACAAGGTTTTACTTGGGGGGGAAAAAAAAAAGAAACTAATAATAAAAAGAAGAATGATGCATAATGGATCTATAATGTTCCACTTTAAAATAACGACTGATCAATTGGCCTCGCAACCAATTGAAATTTTCGATTATTCGTCAAGACGATATATACATGTGACCAATTCGTCGAGAGCTGTCGAAGAAAACTTGTCGAACGATCGACGCAAACACCGACGCTGTTTTTCAACGAAGCTATATAGAGTCATAAATTGTGAGCAAACGGGATAGAGTACGGAGATTAAGAAGATTTGTAGATCAGCTATATTATACAGGGTGTCCCAGATCACTCGCAGTCCTTTTCTCGGATTGCAAGAAGTTCTGTCGACTTTTGAGCAGTTTAAGTTCATTTATCTTCGCAACTCTTCGACAAATAACATTAAATTTGTTTGCGACGAAACATCTTAAAATCCTATTAAAATTACATTCCATTAAAATTAAAGAAAGAATAGAGGTTTCTTATCTTTTAAAGCTTCATTCGTGAAGTTCAGAAAATTCTCCACAATTTTTTATTCTTCACCATTTATCGCTTAACAAGTATTGGAATTTTAATATTTCCGATACTATTTCCTAAGACAAATCTATTTCGAAATTTAGATATTGTTCCGTATTAATTAAAGATTAATTAATTATATAGATTGACACAAGATGCAGAGAGATCCCGTACATCTTGTGTATTTCTAGTGCAGTATTGCAAGACGTTTTAAGAAATTCTTTTTCACTAAGGCTGAGAGAGTTTCGGTATCCGGTGAAGCATAATTGCCCAAAGCATAGTGCAATCATCGCGACTTAAAGGCGTTCTTAATAAATAGGCTCGATGCAGATCTGCCTTTGTACTTATTAATTGCTGTAGGAACATTCAATAACAATGTGGGATTTCTATTGTTTCGCAGAAGCGACTTCGTAACGGCAACCGTCTCTTCCCGCGATTAAGAAGCGATTGGATCATAAGGATGACCGCAAATGCAAGTTTTCAACTAATCCTTAGATTACACGAGATCCTGTATTATTTAGTCTACACAACAGTTATAAAAATATAGCAATAAGAGAAACACTCTCTAGGAAAACGACAAAAACAGAAAGAGGGATTACGAAAACTCAGAAAGATGTAAAATAAAAAGTTGATATTTCTATTTCATTAATTGATAATTCGGGAAGACGGTTATGCAAAGAATTCAAACGTTCCAAGAAAATTGCATGATCAATAGTATATGTATAGAACCTGATAGTATATATTGATACGCTTGATATATTTAAGGATTAAGTTAACGTTCTTCGAGAAAGTGTTACGTTAGTAGGACTTCTCTGTGGCCGAGAGAGAAAGAAAGCACGTGCATATACATATATATATTGACAAATGTCCTTTTATCGACTAAATATGTTGCCGGCATTCGGGTGCCATGAGCTATATTCGATAATACGACAATGCGAAACGCGTGTATTTTTCCGAGATTAAAAATTGTAATTGGAGAAGCCGTAGAATGTGAATTTCCGTCGATCACGCGCTATCCAGTTGCGTGCCATACGCGCGATGCGTGCCACTCACAACACACATATTGCACACAAAATTACACCTGCGCAAAGTTTTCGTTCAAAATACGACACATAAAAACTAAAAACTCACTCGGCGCTCGATCTCCCTCTCTTCCTTTGTCTCTCGAAAGCGTCGATCCCGAAAAAAGGAGAGAAACGAACGAGCGAAAAGACTAAAGAGAGGCAGTACCAAGGCTGTGCGGACAACGGCCGGTTATGACGAACTGGGTCCATTTCTCGAAAGGCACCGATAAGCGCTTGGGGCCGGCCAACTCGACTTCGTTACGCCGTTTATCAGCGGTAGATTACTGATAAGCGATAGCGTGTCTACCTAACACTCGGCACTGACGATCGTCGCGCCGAGAATCCTTATATATTGTACGCACGGAGTCGCGAAACGATAAAATACATCGAGAAATGCGCGTCGTATTAAAGCGTAAAAGTGGCGCAAAATATTATGTATTTTCTAGTTGATGTCGCGAGTTATCAAGACCACAAATATGTGTGATATGATAATAGTGGTGAGTGATAAAATTGTGAAATGTAAATAATATCGCATTTATTTTTTCAGCAATTCTAAATTATCGAAATAGTAAAAATTCGATTTAATCGACCGTAGTGAAACGAGCCATTAGAGAAGTGATTAACTCTGTCAATGAAATATTTTTAATCTTTCTTTTAAAAAAATCTGAAATAAAGTCATAAAACAGTCAAGATAATGTAGACGTATAAATAATGTGCATCGATTTAATCGTAAATTGAAATCGTAAGGATTATTTTACAAATAAATTTTTATTATTTGCAAATCTACGTTCTTTCCGGTTTGCTACCTCGAAACGATTGTTGATATAGCCGTGAATTTGTTACGCAACTCTATAAATGGAGTTAAAAGTGGGAGATAGAAACGTGAAATTTACATATATATATGTATATGTCGTAAATGGAATAGGCATAGATGCGTGCAGATTAACCGAGTTACTTAAAAATCGCGTATGTTCCTCATTTATTTAATAAGATCAAGTATTTTGTACTCTTTCGCGCTTTCCACTCGTAGTTTCGTGCCACGCCCCATTCACAAGCACGCTAAAAAGAATCTTTGAGATAAGCTCTGCAAATCTTGGAATATGTAGATATTGAAGTACTTCACGCTTCAAGTACTTACTCACGAATATACTATAGGTTTATTTTCTAAATTTCTCATCATTATAAACTTCTTTAAAATTTTTCTATTAATTTATAAACTTCTTATACACAAAAAATTATCACTATCAACGCATTAGAATCTATTGCTGTCTAAGACAATTTTATTGATATAAAAATAATGTATCTCAATGTCAATAGAAATCAATTAATTAGAATGAACATAGAGGCAATTTAATATTGAATCAATTCGTCAAAAAAATATGAAATTATACATTATATTATTTCTAAGGTATGAGAGAGAGAGAGGGGGGAAGAGGGGGGAAAGGGAGGGAAGAGAGAAAGAGAGAGAGAGAGAGAGAGAGAGAGAGAGAGAGCGCTATATGATATGACATTTACAACAAACGGTTCGTGGAATATATCGCAAAGTTCTTACGTGTCGAATCATCCGGATGATTTATGTCGATCAGAGCGATTCTCTCCGAGGACAATGAAAAGCGCGGCTCAATACTCTGCTTCGCGCACGAACAAACAAAATTAGCAGCTTAGTGTTTCCAAATCGTATCATAAAACAGTAATAACAGTTTAGAAGTATTTTGGACGCTCGCCAGACTTTCGTCGAGACATAATGTCAGTGTCAGCGCGTTATAAGTAAGCAGATAAGAAAGTGAGAGTCATTAATCATTAGGCAGCAGCGTAACGCGCTGACTTACGATAGACAGAAGCTGCGCTATATTCTTTCTTGTTGGAATACTTGAAGAAGCTTGTTTTTGTATGTTGCGTGCCAGCAGGATGACAAATAAAAAAATCCTAATTTGTTATGTAAATGGGGAAGTGACACGTATATCACGAGCTTAGTACATGATGAAATCACGGTCAATACAGAATAACATGATTTTAATTCAGATCAACAGCGAATCAAAATTATACTGCACTCTATGGAGATCAGTTTAACGCACTAATAATATAGTGGAGAAATTGTATTTTAAATCTATTTTTCAGTTTTTTTTTATTCAGTTCTTCAGTTTTCTTCTTTGTTGCTGCGTTAATTGATAAATTTGTCCGGTGCCGCGATTCGCGATGTGATACAAACTTACGAACGCGTATATACGTATAGACTGGCGTTGTCGGTGCGGTGCTACATTGTTCGAAGCTTTCGCGTGCGACACGCGATGCACCGACACGCCGTCGCGCCGTTGCATACCGGCGAAGGACTTCGTTAGAGGGCCGCAGAAAAACCGACGAAATAACCGGCCTCGTCAGCAAATGAGGATTTGCGGTCGAGAAAGCAGGAGTATGACGTGGCCAAACGCGAACTAAGAGTGGTCAAGAGTACCTACTCTATACTCCGATGATAAACTTTATCATGTAAATTAACGACGCGTTCTAGTAAACTGCATGAATAATTGAAAAATGCCGCAATATAAATGTTTATATCGCATATATAATTCAAAAAATTATTGGTGAGAAGATTTACTTTAACTTGGTAAAAATCTTGCGGAGTTTGTCAATATCAAATAACAACAAAAAAGATTTTTCTAAGTTAACTTTTTAATGTCAGAAATTGTCGATCGCGTTAAATTTTCCGTACGGTGTATTCTTATACTTTGCTATACATATAGCTATATACATACCTACAGCGAGGTAAAATATATGTAGAAGGTAAAGAAAAAACGAAAAGAAAAAGGAAAAGAGAAAAAGACTATTTTCAGAAGTGTGCGACGGGTGTGACGGTTAAATAAAATAACACACGGATATCCGGGCAATCAACATTTTACCACGGATTAAAAAAGATGCGCGCTGAAAGTAAGGGAGAATTGTGTTGTCCGTCCAAATGTCTGAACGTCCGAACACGCGAAGGATGCACTTCCTCGGGACGCCCACGTTTGCTCGCGATAACCGCCGCGGCGCCGCTACCGCCTCTTGACAATGTCCTTTATGGAACGAGACGTCGCGCTCGACAAGGCGCATCCATCGTCGCATGGCACGTTACACTAGTCATGTTAGAAAAGCCGGATGGAACGTCTTTATTTCCGGTAGTGCCAAGGCGTGTTACCAAGGCGGAGGAACAAGCTCTAAAAGCGTCGACAAGGCTAAATATACGGATAAAAGAACGGTCGGCCATCAATTTCCGAGCGAGCGCTACGATCTTGTTAAACTAGGAGAACGTCGGGGCAAGAGAAGAATCTTTTAATTGTAACGGGTTACGCAACGCACTCTCATCTATTGTAATAACCGTTTATTTCAAGATAAACCAGCTGCTTCTCTATTTGCGTCATATTTCGACGAAAGAACAAAATAGATATTTTAAATTAGAAAAATATGATAATATCTCAGCCTTTTTAACTTTAATATCATCCATTGTTGTGTATCCATTTATTCAAATAATTATCAATGTCAATTCTTGTTTACTTATCGTTCAATTTAGGCGAGTAAGATATGATGTCGATAAATGATGCATCAATAAATTCACGTTTGTTCAAAATAAAAGTAAAATGCAGTTATACTGCGTGCACGTGTGCTGCGATGCGCGACTCACGATTAGCGCGATAGCTGGCGCGAGGTCTTTTGTTCGACGTAACAAATACCTGCAATCACGGGGAAGTATTATCGAGGAGCAGGCACACACCAGGTACCAGGTACCAGGTACTATGTACCAGATACCATTGGCACGAAGTGATTTACTCAAAAAAATCGCTAATTCTATTGCGTAATTCTATTAGAAAAATAAAAACATTGCAAATTGCATATTTTCAGAAGATAATTTTTCATGGCTAATGCCATATATGCAAAGTAATATCATATTGCTAAATGTTGCATACATTTCATCCACGAGAACATTTACGAGGCATAAAACGAACAAGAAGATTGGTTTCTGGGTTTTCTGCGCATAATTTGAATATTTAGTATTTACTACAAGTTTTGCTGAAATTGTTTGAATTGTAAAAATTATGTAATAAGCACTGAACGCAAAAAATGAAGTTCTCGTAACAGTCTCATTGAACATACATCCGTATTAATAAGAAATTCCACCTTACTGCATTCCGCAAGATAATCAAAATGTCACTTGGAGTGAACCAGGAAAAACCGCGGTATGTGGTCATAAGTCATAATACAAAGTGGTCAACATTTTTATTGCGGCAGACCTCCCCTCCGCACAAAAATTATGTAACCCATATTGTATAATTGTTGCATCGAAGTCCTGCAATCCATAGATCGTTGCAATCGTTAAGTATTACACTCGTCAGTCGATTGCTTCATACCTTTTTTGTGCATTCGGTGTGTTAAGCAACGACAGTTGAGAATGAACAGAAAAGACTCGCAGCTCGTTTGTTTTTCTAGTGCACAACGACCGTTATGAGAACCCTATTGTCGAGCATAACGAATATAAAATGGTATCTTGAGTAATTCGTCGTTTTTGTCGGTCGAGAAAAAAGCTAGATTAATCAAGTAAAGTAGTGAGCAATTATGAAGCGACAATCGGATTCTCGCAAGGAGAAGTTATTTAATTTTACGTCGTTTAACGACAAAAAAGAAAACGAAATAGTTCAGCATAGAAACGAATAATAATACTTTTAAGTATAAGATTGAAAAATAAATTTGAAATTTTCATGTCTATAAAATTTTCAGTAACTATATCCACTGCTGTTCAGCAATAATAATTAATTAAATATATAAAAATACTAATAAAAATATTGTGATATTATAGCGATAGAGCTGCTTGTATAGTAATTGTTATGATGCTTGGTGTGTTCTGTAATAGATATGTAAAGTTTCGATACTTTGATACAAAACAATTATTGTTTGTAATTTCTGATGTTTATCGTTACGCATTTTTCTTTGTTTATTTCGTTTGTTAATCATTATTTTAAACCTTATTTTGATAAACGCGCGTGTATCATCGCTCGAAAAACAGCTTACGACTTACGACCGAGAAATAAACTTCCCTTTGTTCCGCGCTGTGCTCGCGGCAGAAACGGAAAACGGAGGGACGAACATTTGAATCGCAGATTGTGCGTTATCTCGGCGGAATAATGGCCGTTTAATCAAACTTTCCCCGTCAAATCCGCAATTAAACCTGCTATTGATATATGTCGGGGTCGTCCATGAGCGCGATAAACTCAAGACCCTTGTGGCGCTTTGTCGCTCTTTCGTTTGAGTAACTCATCGTTTCGATTGAATCTCTCGAACTTGTAAGTACCAGCGACTCTTACTTGATCAACGTTGCTCAGCGATCGCTAGTTTCTCTACGTATTACAATTTATAACGTAAAAAATGCTGTACCCTATATTGCACGTATAAAGAAATAAAAATAAAAACGAGAAAACTAAGACTTTTTAAATTCCTTGGAAAAAATTAGCGCAATAGGGTATATTCACATACATCGAAAAATGTAAAATAAAAATCTGATTACTTATACGCGATCGAGATTTGCAATTCAAATTTATGGAATTCTACGAGGAAATTTATAACGATAATTTATGTTAAACATACGTATACTGGACTTCGTACCGAAGAAATCAGTTATAGTGTACTGTTGGTTTATGCACAGATAACTATGATTAACATTAAGCGATGTTGGTTGCATCCAGAGGATAACCGCAGCTGGTCATTTCTTGCTTCTCGCGATGAAACAAAATCGTTATGATTATACGCGCACGTTGTTGAATTAACGAGCGATATAGCGATAGTAACGCTATAGTAACGCTTCATTAAGTATAAATGACAAAAAAATGTTTCCCATGCGAGAATGCGGTCGCCGGCCGCGTGGCTGGCTCGAGTAATCAATCGTGTTGCGAATTATGCGTGTAAATACTGAACCACTTAAAACGTATAATTTTCAATTAATGCGAGAAGAGATGGCCATCCACGGATGGCCTTCCGATGACACTTTTCAATAAACGATTGGTGTCTGTGGTCGCTTGAATGTAACAGGCTAATTTAAACTTGGATACATTCATCGAGCTCGATTATATCCAATATAGCAGCATACACGATGTGGGGAAAAAAAGTAATAACACTTTTCTCGTGCAATGTTCTCCTTAGGCCCGGTTGCACCAACGTCGTATAACTTTATATATATATATATATATATATATATATATATATATATATATATATATAACCTTAGCTAAACTGCATATTGGAAATAAAATAAATATAACATATTTTCCTACAAACAGTTTTACATTGCACTTAAACTTTTTTCTCTTTTTGAAATAACATATAAAATAATGCTAAACCAATTAAAGACGTCTAATATAATTATCCAGAAATAAGAGCCTTGCGCTACTTTGATTCATAAGTAATAGTAACGTCACGTTTGCAAATTTTTCAAATAATTTAGTCTTGTGTAAGATTATCTGATTCATTTTGATGTATTCTTTCTGCGCGAATAAATTCGCGTAATTTTCCAAGAAGCTATTAATCTAGATTAGACGTTATCTTTTGTAGAAGGCAACGTGTTAAGACGAACAAAGAGTCGAGTCACGGTGAGGCGAAGGAAAAGCTATCCAAGTGACCCGAAACACACGTAATATCGCAAAGGATAATGAACACAGTCTCGTACTAATTATGCTCGCAAGGCGCAACCATGGAATTATATGCTATATGGGTAGGTAGTTATATAAACCGTTAATTCTTATCCGCGTACACGCGCGCGCACTTCCGTCTATCTATTCTTTCGTTGCTTTCGTTTGCTTTTTTATACGCGTGCTATTCGCGGCATCGCGCCTTGAAACCCAGGAGGAGAAAAAGGAAAGGGGGGAAGGGGGGAAGAGAAAAGATTATCCCGGCCATAAGACGGCTTAAAGTCGTTACGGTAACTAATAACGCGGAACGTTTTCGGCCACGTTCCGCGAATCCGGTTTTCTATCTTACAATTAAACGCGCGAGGTAGGTGGTGAATTAAAACGCGCGCTTTAACACTTTTATTTTTTCCAAACAAAGAGAGAAAGAGAATGATAGAGATGATACGTCGATCCACCTAAACGATATAAAAAATAGAATATAGAATATATTAAATTATTTCTATAAAATAGTGATTATTTCGAGAAATAGGTCTGTGTTAAATTAAAGAGTCACAAACGTAGACTTGGCGCAGCATTATAACGCGCGGCGGTCGCATGAAATATTCGCGAAATTCGCACGGAATCGTGAGCGTCTCTTTTCGTGAGCGAAGAACGTTTAAATATTATCATTCAGATTATTCGCAATATAAGCAGCTGTTGCTTTGTGCCTCGTGTCGTGGTCGTCGTGGACACGATCAGAGTCTACATAAATAAATCGCATGCATATTTGCGTACAGTAGCATGACGTAATGCCGCAAAATCGCACGTACGGCTATTGGAATTTGTTTATTCTTCTTGTTAGCTTAAAGAGAAAGACGTAGCGCCAATGCGTTGCGAGAAGCAGTGTTTTACTACGTAACCTAACCTTGCTTAAGGATACGTTTGTTTGGTGGATTAGCGAGATTTGTTCGCTACCTTAATTTTTTGCAGGCGAAACGTTCTCGATAAACTGTATCATGTTATAAAATAATCGATAATATATTAAAAACTTTAGTTGAATATAGGTTAACGATTATCAATAATTTATAACAGGATTCTAACATTTTATACGTGGTTAAGAGAGAGAAAGGAGAGAATGTGGTTAGCATATAAATTCCCCAAGCCTATGTCGTCACGTATAAATAATTCACCTTGCTCGATCGGATGAAATCACTCAAACGTTATCACTATTATCACAGTTTACCGTAATCAGCACCGCGGCACCACGGAGAAGTAAGAAACTGCAGATTTCCGTGTGAAGAAACGCGTACCGCGTCGATCGTCGCACATAACGGCACGCTATTTTTTACGGAACACTTGGACGACCACACTTTTTCCGATATTCCTTCGTTGAACTCGAGCACTACGATGCAGGACGCAGCGGATCACATTATCGTCTCTCGCTGATAAAGAGTTCGAGCTTCGGGTGTGATCGTCGATCTTCGTAAGAGTCTAAGATCCGGCGCGAAGTCGGCGAAGTGCGGCGGAGTGTCGAAAACCGTAAGCACCGGAAAGAAGAAAAAACTACTCCAAGTACGGACGGCGATATGTGATGTACTTAGTCTGGTGTGGAACGGTGCAGTGTGCACGCCACGCCAGCACACAGCACGCACTCGTGACACACGGTGACGCACACGCAAAGCGTCCAACTGAGATGCGTGCGCGCGCTCTTCTCGTTCGGTTCCGGCTCGATTCGATTCGACTCGTCGCGACTCGACTCGGCTCGGCTCGGCTCGGCCCGGTTCGGTTGTCTGGTTGTCTCGCCGCTCCGTTCGGTTGGGCAACTCTGCGAGACGCGGCACGCGGCACGAAAAGTGGCTCGAAGCTCGAACGAGGACTACGAGCGCGCGTGACGACGGCAACCGAACTGCTACGACTGCTACGCTTGGTGACGCGGGCGACCACGCGGACCGGCGAAAGCGAGTCGCAGCTCGCAGCCGGCGTTCGTGACTCACGAGTCGGAGTCGACCTGCTACTCCTGCTAGCCTAACCAGCCGGTGCGCGGTGCGCGGCGCGCGGCGTGCGACGCGCGTACTATCGTAGGACGGACCCGAGGTGCAAGTGCCGATAACAGTGCCGTTCGCTCCATCGACGACGCCCGACGATTTGTCAAGCGGTTTAATCTAACTGTACATTTTACCACAAGATTTTTGTATAATATAATAATATCAGAGAAAAACTGGGAGATAATATCAAGAATTTCAAATATGTGTACTTTTTTTTTAAATAATCGTATTCCTTGTTGCTTCGATAACGAATTTTGCAACTATAGAGATAAAATAGATTTTCGAGTTATTTTGTATCTTGCGACACACGTGTATGGTATGTGATACATGCTTGTTATTATTCTATTTGGCGTTCTCTTAAGAGACTCGGCACGGAATAAAAATAAATATGTTAAAATAATTTAAAATTATGCATCTGTTATTGTTATACTCTCAACATAATTTCGAATTTCTTAGGTTTCAAATAATTAATCCTGTATATACCATTCTAATCGAACATCTGTATATGTATAATAATAACTTTATTATAAATCGGATTCTGGACGGATTTGACAACGCAAAATTTATAACTATATAATAAATCTGTCAAGAGAATCATATATCTACTTTGCAGCACCATTTGTAAATCCACACGGGTGAAAAGAGAAATAAAAAAAAATTGCGTATTCAGCCAAAACACTTTTACATTCGCATTCTTTCTCTCGCCCGTGATTTTTTTTCAGCATGCGGAAACTGATCACCTTACGCGGATCCGATTTTCCCAATCAACTCACAGCTCGTTGTATTCGCGCAACACACGCAAATTGTAAAAAAATCGTACGTGATACATCTCGTGGCGGGGCGGAAAAAAATTGAAAACTATTATCATAGAAAATATAAAATAAAGAGGAGCACGTGGCTCGCCGCGAGCGAGTCCCCGTCCGAACCACAATCCGGACCGATCTCGGCGACGCTTTTATTCGTCGACCTTGGATCCGGCATGGTCCGGCGTCTGGCGAAAGACTGATCTGCTGATCGTCAAGAGAGCCAAGAGAGCCAAGAGAGCTGGCAACTCTCCCGAATCTCCGTCTTCGGGCCCCACTCGCGAGTCGCGACACGTTATCCAGGGCATTCCATGGAGATGGAGTTGCGCCCGTATCGCGCGCGTGATCGCAACCTTCGTGCTCTCTACCGGGATCGATCGTTCGGAACGGGAGCCGATCGCGGAACGAATTACTGATTCACGCGAATAGGGACGAGGTAAAAGGATGATTGCGACACGATGCCCGGTTTTACGTTACTTCGTGCAGCTTTATCGTCGCGCTCCGCTGTATTATCGGTCAATCTTATAATAGTCTTTCGATTCCGAGAGACCGTTTCCAAATATCTGCGCGAAACGTGATTCGTGAAGAAACGCGATAACTTTTTAAATGGAAATTCGAGAATTTTTTGAAACGTAATATAGCCCAAGAAGGCAAATTATCCAAGTATTGCGTTTTTATTAAATGGTTAGGTATATTAAAAGGGGATTAAACTTGATAGATTTTTTATTCGCACACATTATTTGAATATTCCCGATCTGTTGTTTTAAACTACTAGAAGTAATTTAATTTCCACTAAAGTTTGAGATATAAATGTTGAACGTGAGAGGAATTAGTTTTAGGCGCAGAAACTTTCTTGCTTGGATTTCTTTCAGTCTCCCGTTACGTTCAGAAAAGTACGAAGAAAGAAGTACTCTATGATCAACGAATCAACTCCTCGGAGCACAATAGAACGGATATAATTTTGAGAATGATAATTGCGTGAATTGCAAGCCAGTTGCAAGACGACTGATTATATAACGCCAAACGCTCCGTCATTTGTCGCGCATACGTAAAATCGTGGAGCTAAATTTCAGTTGGACGGGTCAGCCGCGTGCGTCTATTCCTTCGGGCAGCAGTTTCGCGGATAAATATACGATAAGATTGCAGTCTGGGAACTTGATTCGCTCAACTGCTGAAAAGATAGAGAGCGGCGGAAGCGTGTGATTACAAGGATTATCGGTTATCCCTGATTTTTATTGCCCTTTCCGCCGTGGTGGACCATCCGTGATATGCACGCTGATTAACTCTCAGAACGCATTCCTCTCGTCTCGACGAAGATTCAAAACGTAGAGAGATAACTAACGTTTTCGATTTGTAGATAATTTTCATATAATATAAAATAAATCATCGTTAAAGATGTATACTTTGTTATTGTTTGCGTTTTATTTTTTCATTATCATCTCTATAATAGCGTGGACGATCATCTAAAAGCATAAGATAAATGAGCAGATGCGTTTTGGTAGTCTAGAATAAAGATCTATTTTACACACAATTCGCAATTTCCAATTTATTTTGAACACTGCGTTCAACTGAATGAGAATTGATCGCGCGACTCATCGTTGGTAAATAGAAGATTTGAAATAAGCCGCGAGTTCTTACTTCTCTGTGCAAGCGTTTTTATCGGGGTCACCGTGACTAAGGTCGGAATAATTGGAGCACGAAGCTCGTATTTTTTCAACCGTTGATATCGCATTTTAAAAACGCAGAAAAACCAGTACAATTTTCTCTCGAATAATTATAGCCTTCAGCGAAGTATTTTAGAGACACGGTCGTTACGTCTACGAGCAAAACGTACATACACGTGCGTCCAAGATAAAAAAATAAAAGTATAAAAGTGTAAATAAGATAAGAAGGAGATAAGATACAAATGGAAGTTTAGATACAGGTATATACCTTCATATGTACCGAACAAGTTCTTCGCACGCAATTTTATTTTTGCTACTGTGAGTTAAACTCGATCCCTGCAATATAATGATTTGCTCGGTGAATTGCAAGCGAAGCGTTAACATCGACGGACCTCTCTCATTTCTACAATCTCCGGGATCGGTCTATAGAACCGAGGGGAATCTAGTAACTATATATGCCACAAGTGGCCAAGCAACCGCGTCGAGTAGCATGCAGATATAGATGTAAACTTGATTCCAGACTTATACACAGTCGTTTATTTTAAAAGCGACTTAAGTATGTGGAATGAATTAAAATGGATATTTTTAATCAACGTAGTTTATGAATTTCTTACGTTTCGTTCGCTAACATCAGCTTTTTTTATATATTTGATATTTTAGTAATTTTATAATATTATTCTAGGTACCTTTAGGGAGTATTATGAAAGCAAAGTAAAGAGATCGTAAATTACTGAATCGAAATGAGAATTTCTGCAATTTCTTTAGGTCGTTCGAGGCTGAAGGCTGTATCAGTAATTAAACTTTCGATAAATGGACTTATTTGTCAGCAAGCGGAGCATTGCGGAGTTACACGATGATATTATTCAGAATCAGCCAGCTGTTGAATCGTGGGAACAATTATTCTACGATACGGTTCGCGATACAAAAGATTGCGTGAGATCTTCGGCCAGTGCTGCCTCCTTTCTGACTTCCGTTCACGCTCAGCATACGGCAAACGAGTTTTACGTCCCGGTGCGTCCAAAGGGTTTCACGCGGCGTGATTATCTCCATCTCAGGTCGGGTTTCGACTCTGTATCGCTGAGTGAATCACGGGAGGAGAGAGAGAGAGAGAGAGAGAGGAGGGGAGAGAGAGAGAGAGAAAATCCTGAGTGTTGCTCTGAATAGAGATATGTTAACGATATATCAATATCGAAAGCTTTTAACGAACAAAAACGATAGAAATCTGTGTAAAAATATACACATACAAATGTTAGAAAACAAATAAAAATTGAGGACTAAAAAGAATAGAAAAATTTTAATTTAATTTAATTTAATTATGCAGTTTAAAGCTCTATCAAAATAATTTATTATATAAATAAAAACATTTTTCTTGTAATAGTAAAATGATTACAACATTTTTTAAATATCATAATAATTCAAAGATTTTAATTTCGGCAAACAAGACTGATCTCTGATAAAAAATTTTATTGATATCCACGACAGTTTCTTTAAAAAAAAAATCTACTCAACACTCGTACTTTTAAAATGCAAACAGAATGCTGGTAGAAACCTTGCTGCTAATTACAGCGATATCGCCTGTCTACAGATGGCAGCACTATATTAAATAATGAATATCGTATATGCCAACATTTAATGAATTAAAAGTGCGTACAGATAATTATAGCGTAACGCGTGTCACTTGTTCCGTTATGTGATTCGATATCAATTACTTGGTTAATAGATATATGTTTGCTTTAGGAGCTTTAAACGGTGAATTATATTAGTAATTAAAAATTAAACGTTAA